ATGAAAATTTTAAAAATTTGTGCTTAAAAGTTTTTTATTTTTGAAAATTTTTAAAAATGCGCAAAAAAATATTATGAAATCCGCAAATTTTTTTTTGGTTTTTGTTTTATACTGTACAAAGAGAAGATGTTCAGAGATAAAGCCACAATTAAAAGTTGAAATAGAAGATGGGCGCGAATCGCCCTAAAAGCCTAGTATTTATATTTTGCTTATCTTTTTGTTTGTGTCCATTAACCGTCAAATCTACAGAACTAATCGAGTCCAACATTTTTGAGGCAATTCACATGACTCCAGGAAAGGTTTATGGCAGGTCGTTCAGTTGAAAGAATGTAGAAATTTATTATTTTTGAAAATGCAACAGTTTGAGCAAGCAGAGAGTTCGCGAAACCTTCTAAAACCTAGTAACTGAAAGATCAACTCCCTATTATACAAGGACGGAATTAGATGTTCTTGCAGATATAATTAATTTGTCCCATAAACTAGTTCAGAGTTGTACAAAGAACATTTCCTTCTATATTTTTCCACATTACAACCATGAAAAGTATCAAATGTGCGAAGTTCACGAAACGGGTTTGAACTTTTAAGTGATCGAGCGACAGTAGATCAAGCGACAGTAGATCAAGCTATTTGATTAGGCAAAATTAGCTGATTAAAGAAGGAAGGGGTATTGGTGAGGTACACTCACATCACTGAAGGGTACAACCAGTGAAATTCAAAGATCATTGCGCACACATTTTAGTTTGTCCCGAAAGGAATTGAGTCTTCGCCAAAAACTCTGATTTTTTAAACCTGATTTCTTTGCAACCCAAAGTCATGGACCTTAATCTAAGTTAGAAAAATTTACACCATCAGGTTACTAAGATTTGAAAACTTGAGTTTGTGGCAAAGACTCAATTTTTTTTGGAAAGCCCATGGGGAGGGCAGGGTTATATGAAGAAGACTAAATTAAATGGAAAATCGGAGGGGGGTGGGGGGGGAGGTCTAAAAGGTCACTTGATAATTTAGACGGCTAATACGGCCGGGTGCTTTGCAGCCTAATGTCAGAAATATGTAAAACAAAATTTGAAAAAATATTTTTTGGACAAATAATCAGATGGGACACATGATTCTTTACTATTTTTTAAAAATTGTTAATTTTGGATTTGTTTTATAGATACTTGAATAGAAAAAAATCTGTATAGATAGATACTGGAATGATAAAAAATATAATTCTCCATTCGGCCTTTCGACCGTCCTAAAACCAATCCCATGTTTTAAAAAATCTTTGCAAAATCCTTTAAACTTTGCGCTATTTCTTATAAAAATCAAGAAATTAAGTTTTTTGTCAAAATGAGAGTGCTAAGGCAATACAACTAGAGAGGGGGGGGGGGCAATGAACACCCCTTTCAGTTTATTAATGTTTAAGCTGGGATTGATTTGGTGAAATTTCTAAGGATCAAATTGTAAGATTTTTGCTTTTTATAAGATAAATAATCACTGAAAAGGGCAGTGGGTTGGAATGTGTGAAAGTGTGGGGGGGGTGTTTTCCATCACCTTCTTCGATATTTTCCTTATGTCCTCCATATTTTTTAAACATTTATTTTTGAATATTTGTTTTAATTTTTTTTTTACAAAATTGTATAAGTCATCAGATAATATCAGCTGCTAGTTGTTTGCGATCTCTAGTCTCAATTCTCTCGTTCTTGTTTGTGCATCATCGATTTTACGGCAAATTTTGAAAAAGAATGAAAATATTTTTTTTGTGACATCCCAGCAAAACGCCGTTTTAAGGTTGTGAAGAAAAAAATACAAGGGGTATCGTGATAGGGTTAGAATCATTGGTTCAAAAATAGTAATTGTTTCCAGATTAATATTTTGTGTCATTAGACAGTCGAAATTTAAAATTTTCTCAATTGTCATGTTTACTATTGAAATAAACATTTTGTATAAGTCCAACTCAATACTGCAATAATTAAAGAATTAATTGATCAATAATAAAATACGTTGTCTGTTTACCTTTGCGTCAAATTAAAAATTTATTTTTTCGATTGATTTGTCTGTAATATTTTAAGTGGTAAGCAAATTGAGTTTACAATGTCGATATAAAAGAAAATTTGTGTGTGTTGGACAAATTTTAAATTTTGAAAAACTTTTCTTAAAAATTCTAATTCAGGTTCTTCTGATTTGCTTTTCAGCACAAGTTGAGGCAGGGAAATATCTCCCAGATCAGATGCTGGGAGAGTTTAAGGTACAATAAAAACAAAGAGAATAGAATATATATTAGAGAGGAATTAAAAGAATCTCTCGGTATGAATTTGTTCAGTCCCTTTCAGCCTGAAAGGAAGTTCAAAGTGCATAAATCATGTAAATGTTCACAAATTATATGCAGTAGAGTACATTAATACAGTATGTTCCCTAGACTATCCATTTCAATTTCGAATATTTTAAAAATGTTAAATAAACTTTATAATGAATTAGGCGAATAAAAAACATCATTTGATTTACAGTTATAACGGAAAATCATCGTTTGTAAAGTGAAAGGCATAGAGTCTATGTAAAATGATCATTGGTCAATTATGAAACCAGCCTATTTCATAATTTGGTTTTCTTTTAATATTAATTTGAGATTTTCTATAAAATGATGTCCCAGGGCCCAAGGTTATATAGCATAAATATGTGAAGTACACCTGCAGTATGGAAACAGTACAACAAAATGGCCGTTTTACACTTTTTTCTAGTAAATTCCACTCTAATATATATTCTATTCTCTTTGGATAAAAACCAGAAAATAGTGGAATTCTCGTCGTCTTCTTTACATTCTGTTTGTAAAATGTCACTAAAGATTACGCAAATTGTAACTTAATTTCTTTGTAAAAAAATACCCAAAACAATTTTGAATATATTTCAGGGCTAAAATTGAAAATTAAAAACTTGTTAATGGCACTGTGTAAAGAAAAAGAAATGAAAATTTTCTGGTATTCAATGCTTAGCTTTGACACTACAAATCAGAGAAATTTTAACTTGCCTTAAGCTTAAATTCTTCCAAAATTGTATCAAAGAAAATTAATAATTCATACTTCCAATTATAATTTCTGCTTGATAAAAATGTCGAGATTTAAAATGCTTAAGTTGCCGAGATCTAGGAATAAGAAAATAAGGTTTGACACGCTCGTGATTGATTTTTTTTTATTATTTATATTTGATCCATTTATTCATTTATTCATTTATAATTGCTTTTATTTCATCATGATTTCTTATTTTTAATTCTTGATAATGAATATTTATAAATACTCACTTAAAATTCTAATTGTTATTTTATCACTAATTTTATATAATAATCCCTTGAATATTAATTATACAGTTTTTAATTGAATGTTAACGACGTTTTATCTAGTTGGAGACCAGTGAGGGGTTTACTGATTTTATGTATGAAATTGGTGTTCGTTGGATTAAACGCCAGGTATGTACAGCTTTCAATTATGAATGCTTAACATATCATACTTGCTTGGGAACCCAGTTTTCCAGGAAACAAAATTTTTTTAAATAAAAGGCAACCCACTCAACTTAGAATTTTTAAATCAAACTAAAATTAGCAAGTTCCCCTTGACACTAAATTAGAGATTACTGCTTGTACGGATATATCGTTTCAAAAAGGAGAGCTGTCTACACAATTTGGATCCACGCAAAATTAAATAAATCTCGAACTTTTCAATTAGATGAGAGTACTATTATCTTGTTTCTCATTTTCAACCTATAATGAAATTTTGAAGACGATGTTTACTATATCAAATTTCAACATGAATATAATTGCAGATAGCCTGTACCCTGTACCCAGTACAGCAGATTAAAGAGGCAGATGACGGTGAAATATCTGTTGATACTCTGACAACTTTTAAGAGTCTGTACACAAAATTCAAGCTTAACGAACCATGGGAGGAATATACTGGGGACGGAAGGTAGCCCCCCCCCTCCATCCATACCCACTTCTTTATCCTCCCATATCCACCCCTGGCCTCCCCCTACACCCACTTCTTTATCTTTCCTGTTCCAAAAACACCCCTTCCCGCGGGATTGTCCTAATAACAGAGTCGCATTTTGACCCTTACTAACATAATGGTTATTTAATTGCTGTACATGCAGTGTACAAGGTTACCCACAATGAATGAGACTTTAGAGAATTTGCAAGCTGTTTCCTTGTATTCATGATTCCCTGCAAAAGTATTCTATTCAAATCAGAAGACTTAATTAACCTAGGAATCGTCATATTTTAAAATTTTCACGTCTTCTTCACAGTCTCATATTTTGTGGGTAACCCTGTACACCCTAATCCATATTGTCATTAGGTACACTAAAACCACGACTACTGTACAAGATTTAAGTCTGATAAAAGTACAAATACCAAAACCTGATGCGACTTTTAACAAGACTACTCGAGAGGTAAACATTTGTATTTTGTTAAAAACAAACTTTTCATGTTTAAGTAAAACCTAAACAACAAAAGTTTCTTTTTAAATAATCGTTGCTTTGTATAATATTTTTTAAATGTTAATAAAGGTTTAGTATACACTTGTTTGATAGGTTCATGAGTCACTTGGCATTTGATATTCTAATATTTGCTTCCTTTTGTTTTATATCTTTCAATGAAAATTGAATCTAAAACTCTAAATTTATAATCTTTATATCCTAGCTGCATAAAGGATATTTTAAACTCATGGTAAATTAGGGGTCTTGGCTTAAAGTCATCAACACTTAATTTTCACACATCTAATAAAGATTTTCATATTTGCTATTGAATAGTTTTTCCTAGGCTTGATATTTTAAATATTAAAGTATTAAGTCTACGCTATTTAGCCGTTAGGGATAAAAAGTCACAATTAGTAATAATAATGGTTTCTGAAATTTCTAAAAATGCTGCTACTAATTCTATAAATATTGATAATACTGTTCAAGGTTCGCCAGTTTAGTCCTGATGGTCAAACAATGACTGTAATCAACACTATTGAAGGACTACCCAACAAAAAGAGTGTCAGAGTTTACAAGAGGACACAGTAGATCAAAAAATAGTATTTTAATTTAAGTATGTTTTGTAAAAACTGTTAATTTGCTTAAAAACATAAAACATAAAATACCCTGTTTAAAATAAACTTGAAAAAATACAAATACATATTGGCGAACAAAGTGATTTTTAAAAACCTCTGAAAAAAACATTTGAAGAAAAAAATTTAGATTTTATAACTTTTATCCTAAAATATGGAGTTTGCATTTCCGTAAATACTGTCGACATATTATAATTAGTAATTACAGAAATCAGGAAAATACAGGACATCCTAGGTGGTGGTTTAGAATTAGAATACTCCTTAATTAAGCTTTTGGTGTGTATGTACTGTAGTGGTTTGCAGTACTCCGACCGGAGATATAGTGGGGTTTAGTGGAAAATAAGGAAAAGGAAAAAATTGTATATTTTGACAAAGCTCATTTTTAAAATGTTGTTAGTCATTCTCGAAATTGAAATTTATAAATTGCACAGTATCAAACAAAACAAAGCTTTGAACTATTTAGAACTACAAATATACAATATATATATTTGTAATTAGAAAAATATATATATATTCTTGGTTAATCTAATTACAATATACGTATGAACATGAGGACATGAGAAAAGTTAAAAAAAACACACTGAAAATAGCTTAAACACACAGAATGGCAAAATCCAAAGAAAACAAGAATAAATTGGTGATATAACATAAACATATATCGTCAATTTTCAGAATATTTTGCTTTGGTTTCTCTTCTTGCTATATCATGGACCACCAGTGTACATTATAATATATTATTCACCTCTTCCCATTTAGTAAAAGTAAATTCAGCCTATATGAAGCATAAAGTCTGACCGTGTCGACCTTGTTGCACCGGCTAGTCCTGTCCATAGAGCTAGGTACAGTACAAACTGGGACCGGAATAGTTGACCCGGCTCGGAATTTCAAATGTACTACGGCTGCCCGTGATACGAGCTGGGCCAACCTTTGCAGTCCTAGTTTGGACTGTACCGCCAATTTATGATTACTATAAAAGCGGCAGAGGAGTGTTATACATCTTGCACACTTTCTCATATTGATTAAAATTATCTATGCTTTGAACAAATCTGACTCAAAAAAAAATAATATGTTAGACATGATATATTTTTCTATTTAAATTCTGTATATTTTAGCACATAGTGAATATTGGTTAAATATTATATGTACAACAGTTTCCACTTTATACCCATCATCCTTTCAACCAGCATAGAGATAATATTTCATACTTTACACTGTTTAACCAAACTAGGAGCTACAGATTACACAGATAGTTTAACCAGCATGGAGATAATATTTCATACTTCACACTGTTTAACCAAACTTGAAGCTTCAGATTACACAGATAGTTTAACCATCATAGAGATAATATTTCATACTTTACACGGTTTACCAAACTTGAAGCTACAGATTACACTGATAATTTAACCAGCATCTAGATAATATTTCATACTTTACACTGTTTAACCAAACTNAGATAATATTTCATACTTTACACTGTTTAACCAAACTAGGAGCTACAGATTACACACATAGTTTAACCAGTATAGAGATAATATTTCATACTTTACACTGTTTAACCAAACTTGAAGCTACAGATTACACAGATAGTTTAACCAGCATGGAGATAATATTTCATACTTTACACTGTTTAACCAAACTTGGAGCTACAGATTACACTGATAGAGAATTTTTCTCATCATATTTATTCTTTAGATAACCCTTACTGTACTTTCTAAAACTAATTTTGTAATGAAAAAGAAATTACTTTTATTTCAGCTTGTTTTTCAGACATTCTAATGATTCATAAATAATATTGACATCGTTTTTCATATCAGACATTTTCATATAGAAAATATATTACAATGATTATTATAATTACAGTATTTAAATGCAGAAAATTGTAACTCACTTATTTTCTTAACTTCACGTTTCTATAAAATATATTTTTCTTCTTACTTGAGTTGATGGCAGCTAAAGCTTTATTTATGTTCAGATGTCTGAAGATAAAAGTTCTTCAATTTATGGAATGCAGTCTCTAGGTCTGTTTTCATATTAGAATCTGACTCAGCTTTTACACCAGATCTGGTTTGGTTTTACACCAGAATATAACTTAGGTTTTATACCAAAATCTGGCTCATTTTTTTATACCAGAATCTGACTTATTTTTGTAACAGAATTTGACTGATTTTCATACCAAAATCTGGGTTTTTTTTTGTATCAGAATCTGGATTATTTTTTGTTCTAAAATCCATCTAAGATTTGATAACAAAATCCTACACAGTTTGCATAATCTAGTTTTTTTCATACCAGAATATTAGCCTAGTTTTCTACCAGAATTTTGCTCCTTTCCCCCTTTTTTTTACTAGAATCTGGTTCAGTTTTTTAACAAAATTTTCTATACCGGAATCTTGCCCAGTGTTTATAAAATCAGATTCTGGCATATTCAATTAAATGTTTATGTTAAAACTAAACAATTTCAGAGTTCTATTTTATCAAATTAATTTAGAATATTTCGACTTTACTATGATTTATATCCGGTTGTTAAATAACAAATCCCAACAATAAACAAATGTGCAAACACTGAACATTTTCCAATTTCATCATTGTCTCTGTTGCTATAGGAATCAAAATTCAAGGAAGCATGTCCAAAAAATAGCACATACACGACATAATTTGCTAACTGGTATATTTGCTATTCTCATTTTCCCATACTCTTAGAAGCCGTTCTTTCTTTCATAAACCTTTTTTCTAGAATTTTAACATCCATATATAATTTATTCAAAGAGATGTGTTTGTCCCCAGGACATGATCTGGTTGTTACGATCAAATCTCGTAATTTTTCTGTTATGAAAGTTTGGAGTTGTAGGTGGTTTTCTATTGATCTGCTAGGGGTTGTAATCTGGCAGCACATTCATCCATCCATGCTTCCTTTATTCTGATAAGAGGGTTGACAAGATTCCAGCTGCTTAAGGGCTTCTTAGGCCTAAAAATAGTAGAGTGCAGGAATTCTTCTGATATACTGGAATGAGGCCCGGGTGCCATACTGATAGGAAATATCATACTCATTGCTCCCAATAAATTGTAAGCCCGGATTGGTTACCTCTAGTTACCTATAGCTGGCAACCATAGACTCTCCCTTCTTGTTAACCTTTCCTCTCTTCATCATAATTCACTTAGATCAATCCACTTCAAGCTTCTTTCTTGAATTGAGCAGAAAGCATGCACCCTTTCGCCACTCTGTCCTCCTACATCCGTCAGGTGGTAATAACTGCTTAACCAGATGTTGGCTTCAGATGATTTTGAAACCACAGGTTCGTGAGGAGTGCGGGAATCGAACCGTGAACACCAGTTTGGCTACCAATCCAGTTACTGGTAGTGGGAAAGTGTGCTTAACTTCAGTGATCTAACGAGAACTGGTGTCACAGCCACCCCAACCCACATCAATAATAATAATCTCTGTTTCTTTCTAAATTTGTTTGGATGTCCTAAAGTAAATCATAAACACCAGGACCGATTTTCATCAAATTTTGTCAGGGGATCTTGGTAGAACCCAAGAAATGGTCATGGTTTTGTTTGAAAAATTTAAATAGAGTGGGTTGCCTTTATAGAGAAAGTTTATTTTCCAAGCAAGCTGGGTGCCCAAGCTTGAACACTAGGCTGGATTAACTGTAAGTGTCGCAACGCTATGGTCTTTGTTTTTACTTCAATAACTCACCCATATTATAAAACATGTGTTTTAACTTTAGTTTTTATGACAAATTTGGCAAATTTCGGATTAATTTTTATTGTGTATCAACTTATCAAGTATTTCTTTGTTTAATTTAAATAAATTCTAAATCAGATTAATATGTGTTTACATAAGAAATGAATTATACAGAGTTGAAAGGTTGTTAGTGAATTGAATCAAAGACATAAAACCATGAAGTAAAAAGTTCTTTAAAGTGCAAAATGGTTGAGATATAAATGGATGTTTAAATCTGGTTTTAATCAAAGTTTAAACTAAACTCAGAGAACAAGATTAACTTGAAATTTGGGGGTAATTTAGAAACTTTTCATGCTAATTAATATGGAGGACATTTAAACTTCATTAAAACAAATAAAAGCGCTCAAACATCTAAAAAAACATATTTTTCATCCATTGCTTTCAAGGAATTGAAATTTTATCTAAAATTTATCCGTTTCTGGCCGAAAATAGGTTTTTTTCACAAATATTAACATTTGACAATTTTCTTTTACGTACAAAGTCTTTTTTATGTACATTTTAGATCTGTAACTCTAATAGAACAATTTGAACCACCTACAGTCCTTTAAATGTCCTAATATCCTATAATACAACTTCTGAATCTAAATTGTTTTCTTTAACCCAATTCCGATTGGGCTAATTATGACAAATATAAATTGAAAGAAGGAGTACGGTGAGTTTGAAAAGTACGCCTGAAAATGATAAAATACTTATTTTTATACTCTACCTTATGTGGTTGCCAAATTTGCTAACAACAATAAAGTTTAAAATTGAAGAAGTGCTATAGTGTAAACCAAACCTGATAATGTTAAAGTTTGTTCCTTGTTTTAAATTTGGAGAAATAAATAAGTTTGACCGCTCTAGTATGAGCCGTTTCCAAGTTATTGAGAAAACCCCACAAGAGGAAGGGCCGCTGCACTCTAAACTGCAAAATCAATTAAATCGCTTATATTCACAAACAAAATAGCTTATATTCAACAAAGTACGCTTATTTGGCATTATTACTTTTATTAAAAAATTTGTATTCCAGGTTAATTTATTGTTTTAACACCGAGAAGCACAGGTCTATTGCAAAAACAAAGTTTACTCGATCTTCTGTTCAATTCAATTTTGAGGAAATTAAAAGTATCGGCAAATAGCTGTAATTGATTGGCACAAACTATCCTGTTTATCTTGTTCAACGCAACAAGAATTATTTTTTCCCAGAACCTCAGAGAAAAAAACTTTTGAATTTAAAGGGAGTGTTAGCGAAAAATAAAACGGGGTAAAGGCTTACGGCGAAAAATAATCGCTTTTGATCGCTACTAATTTTAC